CCGTCCTGACCGGGAGTGTAGTTACCTCTTGTAACCTGTGAAGGCTGATAATAAATAGAGTGCCTCCTACTCCTAGTGTCTCTGAGTGCATCACTACACATGCACACATGCCCCCCCCCAAAGACAAAGAGCCCTCATATAGGCGAAATAGACAGTTAGGTCAAGTGCGGTTAGTGAGCACCTATAGTGGGCACCTATAGTGAGCACCTATAGGTGCACCTATAGTGAGCACCTATAGGTGCACCTATAGGTGCACCTATAGGTGCACCTATAAGTGCTCACTAACCGCACTTAACCCAACAGTCTTTTTTGCCTATACCGGTATGGCACATGAGGGGCAGGTGGCCAGCACCACGCCCAACCGCCTTTGTCTCACTAGTGGTGATGTTTACAAACCGGACCAGGTAATCATTTGAATCGTCCTAGGGGAGGCTAAGGACCGGTTGAGATAATCGTCACTGGTGTTGGCCATAAGTGGGAATGGAAATTGGGTCGCTGGGTTCCTAGGATCGTGCGCTAACTGTTGCGCCACCACTCCACACACTTTGCCCCTCTGCCACCCACGCCTCCCAACCCCCCTTCATCCACACGCGATTCAAGCAGCACGGTACAGCTGCCAAGAAAATAGCTGCTGGTCGTGATGCGCCCGCTGCTTTCACGGGACGCTCGTTAAGCGAGACCTGTATAGCTCAGTGGGCCTTACCTAGTAAAATGTAATGTTTTAGATTAGTATACAGTATTTTTAGCCTGCATGGCCTCCAAAGACGCTATTCAAGGATGTCTAACATCCTTAACACATGTCTATATGATTGTCTGTGTGCGTGTTTGAATAGATGTGTGCCCGTGGGTGCATGGATAAAAATACATATAGTATCTGATGGTATGTATGCATGGATATCTATATGGGTGAGTATATGGTAGTTTTATTAGCTCGAGATTACTTGCCAACTATTGCCCCTCCAGGCCTGGCTTTGTCTCCCTGTAGTTATATACTGTAAATAGGGGTGGGTAAACGTCTGATCACAATTGCATGTTGACTCAGCCAAAGTCACGCAAGCAAATCACTATTTACTGATGCAATATCTTCCCAACGTAATTTGCGGCAACAACTTTTTTCTGAACCATTCTTACTGCTCCACGTTTTTAAAAAGGGTAAAAACAAGGTTATATTTTTACGAGGGACAGATGTGAATAAGGCATGTTATCTGGAAATTGTATGTGTTACTTATAATCTCCACAACGACGCTAATTACTTCATGTAATGTATTTGCTAGCTTTGCCTTGAACCCTTATCTAACTGAACGGATCAAAGCCTATAAACATCTGACAGTTCACCAGAATTGGTTAAAGCTAGCCTCACACTGCTGATGAGACACAGAATGTTGAAACTGGCTCAGAAATGTGCTTGTGTTGAATCAATTATCATGAAACTATGCACTCACAGCAGTTCACGTAGCTGATGGCATATGTAAGAATATATTTGTTCTTGTTAACGTGGAGGTACAGATAAGTAAATATTTTTATTTGTTTGCTTATGTATTACTTGTCCCACTTTTTGTTACCAAGAGAGGTTTATAACATGGAGTAAGAATACATTTTTAAGATTATCGTTTATGAACAAAACTTCAGTTTAATGTTTTCTTGGTATTAAAAAAAAGTCTGCAATCATCAATTATGTTAAATCCACTGCTGGATGAAGAGCTCCCAATTAGCTGTCACATATCTTGATTCCACGATAAAACAATCCACCTAAAATGTGGAATCCGAAACAAAAGACATTGTTGAGCAGGTTTGAAAGCTCTCTATCTGAATCCGTTCGTCAAGTCGGGGTATAAGCACAGGTTATGATAACAACGCTAAACTGCAAAAAGGGTTTTTTCAAAGTACGTATTATGTATGTTAAACTTATTTCCCAACATCTCAGACAACTTTGGCTGGCGTGTGCTTGAATTGTTTAGGCCAGCTGTGAACTGCACAGTGACCTAGAACATTCTATCACACGTAATCCAGCAGCATGGTGATTCCTCAACAGATCGATCAGAGTTGGTTGCAGTGGATAGCCTTTGCCCAACTCTATTTCGGGGAATAACTTGTCCGTTCAACACGACGGCTTTAGCTGTAGGTTTGTTATCGATAAACATATTTCTGACCTTTTTCATATTCCTATGACCTTTGACCTTGGAGAAAAATATAATGTTGCTGAGCGTTATGATACATCTACACATTGGCAGGTTCAGCAATTTTCTCGCTAAAGGGGCCAGCTTCTGCTACTGGCATGGATATCCTGTCGTACACATGTACAAACTTCGTGAGAACAGGACTACGATACGGTGCCTGTTGATGTATTGGCAGTGAGAGGCAATCAGTGAGGCTTCAACTGCCTAAAACCCCGCATTCTGCACTGGCTGCTCCACTATGAGTGTGACAATTGTATTCCTACTTAGCTCGGATTTGTGCTAAGCTGCAATGTAGTAATACTTTTTGATTTAAAGCTTTCGTGACTGCATGGATTCATATTCTTGGTTCTTTCGGTAAAGTTTTCTATGTGACTTTTACCGAAAGAACCAATAATATGTAGTAATACTTGTTCACAATGAAAAGAGAATTTGGTAAGGAAATATATCACCCCACCTTTACATGTGTAGCGACATGGAATTGGTCACTATGTAGCATGGCACGGGTTGCTGGCAGAGAAGGGGATCTGCAGTTGCAGCAGCCCTGTCTGTCAGCAGGTCACGTGATAAGCCAGAGAGAAGGATGTAGGGGGCACGTGAGGTAAGCCCGGGAACCCACAAGTAGGTTCTAGAAGGGGGGCGTGGTTGGGGCAGAGCGAGGCCACGCTGGGAGGAAGGCTCGGGCTGTTGCCTGGAGTGGGATCCCCTCGTCATGCTGCTGGAGTCTTCATCACCGTCTACGTCTTCACCTTCTCGGCGTCGTCAGCCAGGCAGTCTGCGAGCTGTCCTGACTGAGAGTTGTAGTTACCTCCTGTGACCTGTGAAGACTGAGCATAAATAAAGTGTCCCCTACTCCTCTTGTTTCTGAGTGCGTCACTATACATGTTGCCTGGTTTGTTTGCAGTGTACTGAATGACCTTTGAATGGATCGCGTATCTACATACAGTGTTGATAAAGTTTTAAAGCTGTTTTTCTGAAACGGTCTTACCGGTCAAATTTTTTTTACAAGGTTAAAGATACTTTTATATTTTAGTATGAAGGACAGATATGTGAAAAGGGAATGATGTCTAGTATTTTTTTTGTACTTACATTTTCCACAACGATACAAATTATTTAATGTTATGCATTTCTTAGCTTTGCGTTGAACCCTTATCTAAACATCTGAGAGTTCAGCATTGGTTCAGGAAAGCCTCACTCTAGTGATGAGACACTGAATGTCGGTAAAAAAATGTGCTTGTGTTGAATCAATGCTCATGTAATCATGCACTCCCAGAAGGCATAGATAAGTGAATACTTAATATTTGCCTGTTTTATTTATTTATTATCTTTCCAACTATTTCATAACTAGTAGAGGTTGAACATGAGGTAGACAGTGTTTATGCATTTAGCTCTGATTATAACATGGACGCATAACACTCGTTTAGATGATCCAATATGAGCTAACTTCAGCATGTATTCTTAGTGTACAGAAGTCCATCCGTTATGTTAAATGTACTGCCGGATGACGGGCTCCCCAATTAGGCTATCACCTATCTGATTACACAATTAAAAATCCACCTAAAATGTGTAATCCAAAACAAGAGACGGTGTTGAGGTTGGAACGCTTTATCTGATTTCCAGTAGCAAGCTTACTCATATTGGATGTTTTGGTTTGGCCACGTAATGATCTCACAAAATTATTGACGTAAAATTGACGAATAGTGACCACGAATGAAGCGACTTGGCCACACATTACAGCTCACAAAAGTGGCATATGTGGAAATGTATAGCAGCCAGATACTCGAAACGCACATTCAATCCAAATGTGGAGGGAAAACCTGGATTATCTGGAGAAAATTCCACAAGACCACGGGAACAACATGCAAACTCCAAATATACAACAGGCGTCAGGGTTAGGAATGAACCCACGACCTTCTGCACACCAGGTGATGTCGTTAACATCTCACCACTGTGGCACCCCTTTTGGCACAGAAAAGAAATCCAAGCTTCTTCGATGCATTTTTACCCAGATGAGTCATATAGCCATTCCATGACATATCAGGTGCGATTGTTGTACCAAACAGATGAATATACTATGGATAAAAATATAATCGTTTATTATGATGGTAGGAACTGTTTAGATTGGTTATCACATTCCATGAGTTGTTGGCCCAGGAGGTTTCATATTGATTAACAACTGTTGTAGAGTCCTACACGGATGTGATTTCAACCAGAGCCCAAAACCTGCTTCAACACCGCCACCTTACCTGCCACTCGACCCAATCCACTTTCATTAGACGGGCAAACAAAACTATTAAACCCGCACATTTGTTTCATATTTCAATCTGTGTTCGATATAAACGTAATTCTTCCAGTATTAGAAAGCTAACTGGAGGTTGTGCTCGCTGTCACCACAAAAGTAAAGAATAAAAATCAAACTCTGCTTGTGTCCGAGGCTGCATGGGGGGAGGGGGGGGGGGCAGCTATCTTTTACGTCTGCTTGCCAAATCCCATTTGGAGGAGCCAGGAGACTGTTGAGGAAGTATCGAGAGCAATCCAGAGCCACAGACCAGGTCAAGCCCTTTGCAGAGATGACCTCCAAAGCGAACTGCGGCGGGAGGGTGGCAATCTTTTGTCGGCTGCCCGATATTTATTACGTTAGAACCATTTGGACCAAAGGTGGATTCCACCTGAACAATCACGTAGCAATCACCAACCTAAAAGTGCCCTTCTCTGGTTGGCCAGTGGGCAATCAGACCTGATCTTAAAGCCCCACTTAAAACGGGTCTGAAGACGAAGTAAAAAAAAAAACAACCCTGTTATCACAATTAACGAGGAACACGGCATTTGGGTCTGTATGTAATTGCCTTGGGCAAGGTTCACAATGTAAAAACTCTGACACCCCTTAACTAAATGTGAGAGTGAAGACCCTGACCGACGTGCACACACACGCACATCAGCTGACATATTTAATTACCCGTTGAGAGTGATAAAGACAGACATCTAAGAAACAGGCACACACACACTCGTTGAGAGAGACACAGAGGCACAACCAAGCACCCGTTAAGAGAGACAGAGACACTCAAACATTCACATAGATCAAGGAAAATAAGTCATGGCCACGTCGTCTCCGTACCCAAGCATGCCGCTTCCGTTCATCATGACGGACGACACCGGAAGATTCTACATCAACGAGGACACGGCGCAGGTTCTGGGGAGAATCAAGAAGCCCGTGGTGGTGGTGGCGATAGCTGGGAAATACCGAACTGGGAAATCCTTTCTCATGAACCGACTCACGAGTGAGTGGATTACTAAGGTGGTTGAGTTTGTGAATGGATGGGTCAGTAATTTAGCTCCAGATTGTGTATCTCCTTGAATGGGTTTCTAATCCGCTAAGTGGTCTGAAGTCGTCTGTTAAATGTTTGGGTATTAGATTGAGTATATGTTCAGGATAAGGATTGTTTGAAAGACTTGGATGTCTGGTCAGATGAATATACAGTTGTCAAGTGAGCCGAGTACCTAATAGGGTGAGCAATTTCTGAGTGAGTATCCGGTCAAGTAGCTTAGAGCTAGGGACTCGCAATCTGAATGTTGCGAGTTCAAATCATTTTAGGGTGGGGTTGACTCAGCCTATCATCAATGCGAGGTTGTTTAAATGAGCATAACGTTATGGGGAAGTCAACAATCGTCGTATTTTGGATCGACGCACCCCACCATATGAATGTGGAATTTCCTCCACTGGCTCAGGGCTCTGAACAGGTGTTGAACACCATGTCGATATTAATTTGAATTAATTTGTACTCTATCTGTTCTGGTGAGTGTAAGGTCGGGTTAACGGTTGGGTGCATGTCAGGTTAGTAGAAGCCTCAGATCATAATTAAAACAGTGTTGTCCTGATTCTGGTGCGGGAGTGAAGCGTTGGTGACTGGTTACCACGCAAAACGTTGAACCCAGTGACCTGAGTCTGATTCCTGACCATGGCTAACGTCAGTGCCGAGTAGAATCTGGACTAGCTCTGGTCACTCCACTTCGGGGTATGATTTAACAACTCCTGTGACCATTCATCCGGTAGTGAAAGCCTTCATCAGCCTCTGATCACATTCCCAAAGGCACAACGTCAAATGTTGAGGTAAGAACCAACACGTGGGTGCGTGAGTGGGTAAGTGGGTAAGTAGGTGGGTAAGTAGGTGGGTGGGTGAGTGGCTTAATGAGTGGATGAGTGAGAGGGTGTGGGTCAGTTGGTTAGTGAGTGGGTAAGCCAGTGAGAGGCTGGGTGGGAGAGTGGGTGGACTAGTAGTTGAATTGGTGAATGGGTGGGTTGGTGAATGGATTAGGGTGTGTGAGAGTGGGTATATGGTTGGCTGGGTGGGTTAGTGGGTGTGTTCCTTGATAGATAGGTGAGTGGGTGGGTGTTTGAGAGGGTGGTGGGTGAGTTGGTGGGTGCGTGAGAGGGTGGGTGAGAGGGTGGATGGTGAGTTGTTGAGTTGGTGGGTGGACGAGTGGTTGGGTTAGTGATTGGGTGGGTGAGTGAGTGCGTGCGTGAGGTGGGTGAGTAGATGCAAGTTGGGTGGGTGAGTGGTTGAGAAGGTGGATGAGTAGGTGGAAGGGTGGGTGGATGAGTGGTTGGGTTGTGTGGGTGTGTGGGTCTGACTGGATGATTGCGTGAGTGGCTTGATGGGTAGGTGAGTTGGTTGGTGGGTATTTGAGAGGGTGGGTTAAAGGATCGGTTAATTGGTGAGTGGGTGTGTGGATGAGTGGATTAATGGGTGGGTGGATAAATGGATAATTGGGTGGGTGAGTGCGTGGATGGGTGACAGGGTAGATAAATTGGTTAGTGAGTGGGTAAGTCGGTGAGTGGGTGAGAGGCTGGGTGGGTGAAAGAGTGGGTGTACGAGGGGTTAGATTGGTGAATGGGTGGGTTGGTCAGTGGATGAGGTTGAGTGAGTGGGTGATTGGGTAAGTTGCTTGATGGGTAGGTGAGTGAGTTGGTGGGTGAAAGGGTGGGTGAGTTGGTGCGTGAGAGGGTGGGTGGGTGAGGTGAGTGAGTAGGTGAGATGTTGATGGGCGAGTGGAAGAGTGAGTAGATGAAATGGTGGGTGGATAAGTGGTTGGGTTTTTGAGTGGGTGGCTTAGTGGATGAGTGAGTGCGTGAGTGGGTATATGGTTGGGTGGGTGAGTTGGTTATTGGGTTGGTGGCTTGATGGGTGGGTAGGTGGATGAAAGGGTGGCTGGGAAAGATTGTGTGTGAGTGGGTGAGAAGGTGAGGTGGTTGAGTGTGTGGGTGCGTCAATAGGTGAAAGGGTGGGTGGACGAGTGGTTGGATTGTTGAGTGTTTGAGTGATTGGGTGGTTGAATGTGTGGGTGGTTGGGTGGATGAGTGGGTGTGTGGTTGAGTGGTTCGGTGGTTCGGTGGGTAGATGGGTGAGTGGGTGCGTGAGAGGGTGGCTTGGTGGGTGAGTGGGTGGGTAGGTGAGTGCGTGCGTCAGTGTTGTTGTGACCTGCGGTATGGTTGTTAAAACAACAGCTTCCCAGGTTTGGACGAATTTGAGATACGTTGTAGATATTTTTTTTTATTTAAAGTTAAATAAATAAGTGTTTGGCCTGGAAAAGAAAACAAAGATTTTCTGCTGTCGCCTTAGCCTGATTGTTAATACAGCCATTCCATAACAGGGCAGATGACATTGATGTACCTAACACATTCATGATTTTATTATGGATGAGAATATAATTTTGATTTAAAGCTTTCGTGACTGCAGGTATTCATATTCTTGGTTCTTTCGGTAAAGTCACGTAGCAGTCGAAACGTCGTGAGAATTTTATTGTTTAATATTTGTTATTATTTTATTGTTTCCCTTCTACGTAACTTTACCGAAAGAACCAATATTATTAGAATATAATTGTTCAACATTAATAGAGGAACTGTACAAATGCTAGCCTTACGTAATATCATCGCTGAATTTTTGCAGTTGACAAATCAGCTTTTTGTCCATCTATTATAGATTGGAACCAAGTTAGTGTTGTAAAATCATCTCAAATTAATGATGTTTCTCTAAACTTCGGTTTGAGCGAGTTTGTAATGAGAACATTGCAATTACTCCAAACAGTGAGACTTGATGTAATTGTGGATGCATAGGCGTTCCATTTGTTGTATTCGGGAACCCCCTCTACGGAATTATTACCAAACACCAGTTTGAATAAAAAGGACCACAATTTAAAAGCATATGGAAGGTATATTTTGAAATGATAATGAAGTGATATGAATGTCATGATAATGACATCAATGCCAATAATGCTAATGGAACTGACATCAGTGTAATTGATCGTAATGTAATTGATGATTATGTCATTATGTGTAACATTTACCAGACTTGCATAGATTAATTCGCTCTTTCTCACCCCCGTCCGCTGCGGCGTAGATTTCCACACAACTCTCTCAAAAATGTACCAGACTTGCTGGGTCTTTCTCTCCCCTGGCCGCCGCGGGGTGGATTTCCACACAGCTCTCTCCAGCACCCCCATCTCTCTCTCTCTGCCCCACTCTTCTCCCTCTCTCTCTATTTAAGGCCTCGAAACAGAGACGTTGGGTCTCTGTGCGTCTATGTTGCGTGTCTCTCTCTGTGTGTCTCTGTGTTGTCTCTATCTGCTTGTGTGTCTGTCTGTGTGTCTCCGTGCCTGTGTTTTGTCTATCACATTTAGTTCTACCTGATGACGACTGCTTGTGTTGCAATCGAAACGTCGTATTCTATTATTTAATGTATTTGCTTTCTACGTGACTTTACCGAAAGGACGAAAAGAGTAAATGTTTATGCATGCGGGAAACACCAGAGCACCCGGAGGGTGCAATATTCAATTCCATCGAGAAGGGAGATACGTGCATTTTACTGGTTTACACTTGGTTGCACTGCATTCTGCTGGCAAGCCAGGGTATTGAATATGGATGCCAAGGGAAGGGAGTCTCACGACGTATCATTTGTGTGATACACCGAGGGGCCGTCCATAAATGACGTCACGCAATTTTGGACGATTTTTGACCCCCCCCCGTCACACAGCGTCACAAAAGGTCAGACCCCCCTCGAATATGACGTCACAAAGCTCCGTCCCCCCCCCCCCAAGAAACCATATTTCCATTTTGAAAATAAAACATGCTTCAAATCGCTTTAAACTATTGTGATTGTAGTGCGTATTTTATGATGGCGCTGCACTCTGATGTTGTAGGAGTGTTGTTATAACAATTATTGTTGTCATAACACTTCTATATTTATTTAAAGTTGCACATTTTGATGTGACGTAACATTTCTCAACCCCCCCCCCCCGTCACACATCGTCACAAATACTCTTTGGTTCTATTGGGTAAAGTCACGTAGGTGAAAATAAAATAACAAAAAATCACGACGTTTTGGCCACAACACAAGCGGCCTTCATCAGGTGAAGGGACGAGACTGTCTGGAGGACACTCCAGCGCTGTCCTCCAGACAGTCTCGTCCCTTCACCTGATGAAGGCCGCTTGTGTTGTGGCCGAAACGTCGTGATTTTTTGTTATTTTATTTTCACCTACGTGACTTTACCCAATAGAACCAAAGAGTATGGATCCTAGCAGTCACGAAAGCTTTAAATCTAGAATCGTCACAAATGTCTGACCCTTCCCCGCTATGTGCGTGACGTAATTTATGGACGGCCTCCTACCCTTGCTTCCACAGTGATGGATTCCATGTGTTTGTCACCACTTCCGGCCTAACAGTGTTAGACAATGTGAAACAATAGACGGTGATTTAGGAAGTTTAAACATGCTTTTTCGCAAACGAGTCATATAAGTGCACTTATAATATGCTACCATTTATCCTAAGTTTCCCGGCTTCATACGGGTCTCAGTCATCAAATGTTGAGTAATGTCGTGCATTGCTGTCTTAGAATAATTGAATGCTGCATGTTATAATAATTGAATGCTGCATGTTATTGTTTTTGGGTGGTGTGATACAGTCACAAGGCTTTTTTTGTTTTTTGATAAGAGGACAGCTTTCAAATCTGTTACCCTTGGGAAGTTTCAGGTTAGACAACGTTGTATGTATTTTCACCTAGTGGCAATATGAAAAGATTTGTCGCACTGCCAACTCTGCAGCAACCAACGTTGAGTTGACCATGAGAGAAGCATGCACTTAGCAGATTGAGGCCAACAATTTTGAGTGATTGACCCAGTGCCGTATTGGTGTTTATTGCAAAACTGAGGTGGACAGGGAATTGATGGTGTTTAAGATGACAGAACAGGTCAGAGTGATGGACTGGAATGCATGGAATGAATACATGGTCTCCTGCTGTGTGACCAGTCATCTTTCTGGCTTACAGTTACATGGGGCATAATTTTCATCACGGCTAATCACGTACACTTGCAAAGTGTTCGTGGGTCTAATATCCTGAGAAGCATGATGGTGTACGCCAATATTGACGTTGATTTTTGTGGAGGCAGACCAGGTGGTTGCAGAGAGTTGTGAAATTATTTAGGGTAGTTTACTGCCTCATTCGTGTCCAGTACAGTGTCAGTTGACTTGAATGTGTAAGGAGTGCCTGGCAACTCGGAACGGAGGTCGGTGTTAGTGATATTAAGTGTAATTTTTTTCGTGCGAGGATGGCTCTGTCGCATCGCCACTTGTGGTCCAGGAATTGACGTGCAAAATCACCAATGACAGCTTCTTTAAGTTTCTGAAGTGTTTCAAATGGTGTGCTGTTGGTCATTTCAATACTTCCATATCCATTGTCAGGTAGTATGGCTCCATTGCCCATTTTTTCCTATTGTTCTCCATCCTGTATATGTGCCCAAACAAGCTCAGTTTCCTTATCATTACCACGTTGTGAAGTATAACCCAGGGTTTGTGGAAGACAAAGGTCTTTTCCCGTGAGGCTCTTTCCTGCAAGAGTATATTACGTGCAGCCCTCTTCTCCTTTAGCAATCTGACAATGGTGGTATTATTCTAGTCATACCAGTCCTGGTGGTTGCACCTTGTGGTGCCAGGCATCCTAACAAACACCTCCTGTGCTATGTATTTGAGGAACTTCCAAAGATCCTCCATATCTAAGATGAACGCTGAGTAGCGACCCCCACCAGTGCTGCTGCCATGGCTTCCTGGAACTGGGTAATTGTAGCATCAGAGTCCAAATGGACAATGTTGACTTTCGTTTTGAAGGTTTAACACAGGCTTCTTGATCTTAGCGCGCATTTAAAGGGACCGTCTGGTATGCCACAGAACGTGGTCTGTGACCACCTCAGCTCCATGCATCATCCTGGTTATAAGGATTTCCCAAACATATCTTTGTTTGGTGATCATGTAGTCAATCATAAGCCAATGTTTACATTGTGTATGCATCCAAGTTGTTTTTAGTCTGTAGGATACTTTTTTACGCAAACAGTGATAGCAGCATTACTCTATAAGTATCATATTCATACGTCTCCATGTCTCCATCTCCGTGTTAATCCAGGAATAACAGGCACCCTTCATGATTATCTAGCCCTCATGAGGTGTTTATTTTCCGAATAACACGGAACAAATCAGAATAAAATGTATTCTTACCTTTCTCCGAATTGGTCGTGGTAAGGGCATAAGCACATGTTATGGTAAAAAAGCAGTCCTGCAAAAGGGGCATCCACAAAGTAGTCAGGCAATAAATCCTGTCTGACGTTTCAGGCTCTGAGCGTTTCGGGGTCAAGCAATATTCTAACATTCCATGTTGTGAAGGTTATTCTTTTTATCTTACTCGAATTTTACCCCAACATCTTATCCAACTTTGATAGGCTGGTTTGTGCTTGAGTTGTTTGGATCATCTGTGGAATGCACAGTGACCCTATCTCTTTTGTCATTCAAAAAGAGTAGGACCATAAAGTGTTCGTGTCATAGTCCAAATGTGAGTTATAAATTACTCAATTGGGATTGCATATGGAAACATAAGAAAGAAAGAAAATAAAAACTACTGCAGACGATTTATGAAACATAGCACCTTTGATCGAGGGATTTGAACATAGGGTTTTAATTAACGCCAAAATGTTGCATGTATAACAGCACCAGAAGCAATAATAGCAACAGGAACAGCAGCAACAGTACCAACTGGATAACAGCAACAACAGCAACTGCAACAACATCAGCAACGACAGCAGCAACAACAGCAGCAGCCATACCTTGCAATCGCGATGTTGCGACTTCTGCATCACTCGCAGAACTCTAGCTCAGCAAGCCGAATGGTCTGGTGAAGCAATGCCCCCCCCCCCTCTTCCCTGGAGAATTGGGGGCCATATCCGAACTTCTCTTGGCTTGGATCGACAAATAAATTATATCTCATCCAAAGGTCACCGATACTTTGGTGGGACTCGCCAGCAGACTCTGCCCAGCATCCATCGTGCAGAAGGGAGTGCTGATTGGTTCCACACCGACTGTGCTACGATCTACTGAGGAAATGCCGCTTGTTGCAATGCCTCGCAAATGGTTATGCTGTGGACTCGATATATTGGCTGTTACTCAAACCTGGGTATATGATGCCTCACCGGATGTAATTAAGCATGAGGCTGCATCTAACCGATATTTTATTGTACATCAGCAACATCGCAAAATGCGGCAGCAGGCATGGTCGTAAGATCACACAGATTCACCCTGGAGACCTCTTCATTAAGGACCTGAGGAACTCATTAACAATTACGTCATTCGAGGTGCAGCTTGTGAAAATAACGAACAGCATGCGGAGGCTTTTGATCACCGTAATCTATCGACCACCATCTTCACCGGTATTGGAAATATTTGTCGAACTTTCCGGTTTGCTAGACTTTGGGTCACCTTGGCTCTCACTACATCATCTTTGTTGACTTAAACTGTTCCGAACTTACTGATCCATTTGGTAAAATCAACAATTATTTGAACGAAATAATCAAGTCACATTCTAACACGTCAGTAACTCAACATGTTGCTCGGAAAATATGCTGGATAACATCTTCACATCCGCGGATGTTGTAACTGTGGGTCGAGGTTGTTATTATTGGAAGAATACTGGTTTCAAGACTGTCGGTCTCTTTTACAGAGCTGAATTCTACAAAAAAGGGAAGCATTGTTATGCTCATAAAAAAAAGGAATATTGTACATTTATATCTAATCCTGTAAGAAATATTGTATAGCATATAAGACAAAATAATGTAACGTGAAAGAGAAAAGGTTATACAGTAATACCACTTTCCTTGAGTCCTCATGCTGGAGGATTGTTCCACTGAACAAAGGAGTTCTGTGGATCGGTTCACAAGTACGAGCGGACGTTCATAACTCAGCACTGGCAGAGTGTTGGTAGATAACACACATTCGTGAAAATTCCCTCCTACCCAGGGGTGTCAAAGTTGGCAAATTCTGATTTGTGAGGGTGATAGTACGGTAATTAGAATACAGCAATCCCTCACCATCTGCGTGTTTCACATTCACGGTATTTGCGTATGCACGGTTTTCCTTCGGTATACTAATTTGCTGACCGTGGTATGGAGTTTGTGTATCAACGGTTTAGAACGGCGACTGGCACTTGTAATTGCATATCACGCACATGTATATTCCCTCCATGCATCGTCTCATCTCCCAACTCCCGCCACCGCTCTCTTTCCACCACTTGGTAGAGTAAGAGGGTGGGCAAAGCCCATCCTCCTCCTTCGAATCCTCATCAACATCATCGTCAACACCATTAATTTCAACCCTCGACATTAACGGTAAAATAACATGATTTTTTTATTCTGTTATTTGAACATGTATTGATGTTTATGCTATGCCTTTTATTTGTATTTAGTGAAGGAATAAGCAAATTAGTTAGGCGTTGACGAGTGCGCCCTGACCTATTTCCCATAAGGCCTTGCGATTGCCAACCGCGGTTTTGGCCAAATATTAAGGGCCACAGTGCTTGGCCAATTGTTAACATAAAACTTTTGCTACGCCCACTTGTCTGTGGTTGAAAATGCCTCTGAATCACCCTCTGTCCCTTACAATAAATTATACGTCTGAATTACAAATTCTGTAACGTTTGAGATTAAATATTAATTAATTATTTTGCATATTCATGAAAATGTTGATTATTGTATCACTGCTTTGTCTCCTCACAACAGAAGCAGTGAAACCTGTCTTAAAGCCGGACATGGATCCCAAGTTTGCGATGAAGAGGTGACTCTTATCTGTCTCCAGTGGAGATACGAGGTGGCTGGGTTGGCTCTGTGCTGGGTTGGCTTAGTGCTGGGTTGGCTTAGTGCTGGGTTCGCTTCGTGCTGGTTTGGCTTAGTGCTGGGTTGGCTTAGTGCTGGGTTAGCTTAGTGCTGGGTTGGCTTAGTGCTGGGTTGACTTAGTGCTGGGTTGGCTTCGTGCTGGGTTAGCTTAGTGCTGGATTGGCTTTGTGCTGGGTTGGCTTCGTGCTGGGTTGGCTTCGTGCTGGGTTGGCTTCGTGCTGGGTTCGCTTCGTTCCGGGTTGGAGTGCCGAGTTGGCAATAATGCAGTCCTTGATTTCAATCTGTTTCAACAAATTGGTTTCTGAATAGCAGTTGATGGTCTCAACCTGGCCATCTGAGTATGGAACAACTTACAAAAAGTCTAGAATTTGTGTAACACTTGTCCTAACTCTAAATAAATATGGTATTTATGTATGAAAATGCAAACATTCCATTATAAATGAGGGTCGATCAATACCACTCTGGAGATAAACATTCAGTTTCAGTTTCATTTATTTGGTTTTATCCCTGTGAGCCATTCGGCTCTTGATTCGAGTGCAACCACAACCAACAATAAAATTACAAGATACATTTAAAATTTACTGCACGCAAATTTAAACATCCCCTACAAAAAATATCTTCCAGAAAAAGCACCATTTGTTTATGGTGCGTACAAAAATGTGCAAAAATCCCAGTTTGATGTTAAATGTGACTGAAAGTAAGCAATAGCGACATATATAACATATATGACTAAACCTAACATCCCTAGCTAGATGCATGAGTCAATCCATAATAGCAGGAGTATTAATAGTAGTAGCAGCACACTATAATCAAAATACTTGATCATTACTTGCATTGGTCATCCGTAGCGATACATTTGACATTACTCATGTTCACACACATGTGCACTTTGACAAGCACACACACATCCAAACACACACGTGCACAATCACTTGAAAATACTCTCACTATACTTACACGGACTCTCATAAATAATGACAAAAATCCTTTTAATAGATGAATAGCACCTTCCGGTGACATTATGACCGAGTCAGCAGTGCTCAATAAGACCACTTTGACCCTTTTATTAATATCAGCCAATGCACGAGGTTTCAGACAGTTTTTTTATTGGAAGACTCAGATTCTTGGATGCCTTTCTCCCTGCACGAAAAAGTTAGAATTGTATTTAACTCGGTCCTGTATGATGTAACTGAAGCTCAAGCCTCTGTTGGCTTGCCTTACACTCCACGTGCTGAAGAGCGGAAAGAGTCACAGGAAAAAGTCCAAGGCCTCCTCTCCATTAGCCTCTCCAATCAAGGAAAGACCTGAGACCCCTCCTGAAGAGACTCATGGGATGCTACCAGCTTTACTTGAAAATGCCAATCAAGTTTTCCAAAACACCCAGGAGGTTGGTCAATAAACGGAGGAGAAACCCATTCTACTCCGGGTCTCAACGAAAAACTAAATAGGATTAAAGAGGGTAAAGAAACAAGAGTTAGCTATGGCATCTCTTCCAGGAACACTGGAGCCTGAGAAAAGTAGATAATATCAAACTCAAGGAGCTAGAGAAGGCGTTCAATAATCCATATGGTAAGGGCTGGGATAGTCAACTGAAGGCCTCTGGTGTCGTGGAGGGGGTAGAGGACACCACTTCCCAAGGAGCCCTCTGCTACATTAAAAAACACTGACCCTCTGTACTAAAGAACCCTGAAACTCCGGATCAACAACCAATACACTTGGTTGGAAGGAAAGAGAGGCAAGAGTTAATGGAAGCAAATAATCTGAGACCCCATCCCCTCCCCCAATTGGCATGAGACTGAAGAAGCGCTAAGAAAGGCGAGAATATTAAAGTGTAAAGCCACTAAAATTGAGGGAAACTACATTCCTGACCTTACTTCGGCTGACCAGAAGAAGATGAACTTCCTCCCTCTGCATAGCGATATGGGGAACAGGAATAGGGTGCGCTCACATTTGCTCTATCCAGCCAAACTTCGAATCCACATTGCAGGGAGGTGAAATTTCCTAACCCCGAGTGAGGTGATGAGGTGCAACCCTCCATCCCAATGCGTGAGCAATCCGCCTCTGAGAATGACAGAGGCTACACCCCGTCGATCCCCAACCCCGTCCGCCCCCTTCACACAGTGTCATAAATTAAACAGGGAAGCGTCCTCAACCTGGAGGCGTCCCTACTCCGCATTGTCCAAGCCAATAATGGCGTCACACACCTCAGGACCGTCGGCTTCATCAGGGGTGTCAACCTCGATCGACGCCGCGTCGTACAGCGCCCCGAGCCTGAGAAACACGTGCACCCGTTGCTCGTTGGCAATCGCGACAGCGCATCCACGTTCGTGTGTCGGGCACCTTTGCGGTAGGAAACAGTAAAATAATACTCCTTGGATCTTTTGGTAAAGTCACGTAGGTAGAAAAATAAATAAAACAAAACAAAAATAATATATCAGACTCTCTGCGTTGCATTGCATTACATTTCCCAAAAAAATGCTAAGTTTGTTTTCTCAAATTGCCTATTTCTCTCTCTAAAATTTACCAGGCTCTCATAGGTCCATTCTCTCTTTGTCTCCTCCGGCCGCTTCGGGGTGGATTTCCACACAAATCTCTCTAAAATTTACCAGACTTTCTGGGTCTTTCTCTCCCCCTGCCACCGCGGGGTGGATTTCCACACAGCTCTCTCTAAAATTTACCATACTTGCTGGGTCTTTCTCTCCCCCGGCTGCTTCGGGGTGGATTTCCACACAGCTCTTTCATTGACATGCTAATGTCTCTGCTCCAGCAGACCCATCTCTCTCTCTCTGCCCCAACCCCACCCCCCTCTCTCTCTCTATTTGAGGCCACGACACAGAGGCATTGGGTATCTGTGTGTCTATGTTGTGTGTCTCTCTCTGTGTGTCTCTGTGTTTTATCTCTCCACTTGTGTGTCTGTCTGTGTGTCACCGTGCCTGTGTTTTGTCTCTCTCTCAAATTTAGTTATACCTGATGACGACTGATTGTGTTGCAATCGAAACGTCGTATTCTATTATTTAATGTATTTTTTTCCTACGTTACTTTACCGAAAGAACCAAAGATTAATTCCTGCAGTCACAAAAGCTTAAATCAAGTTTAAAACACTACTGATTGTGCTGAATTTAATTGAACTTGACTAGGTATTTTTCGTAGCAAAGGAATTAAGCAGAACATAGAGCCGTTTTAATATCTCCCCAAATATCAACGTTACACGTTTCATTAGCCACGTAACCTCTAGGAGTGCATACTTTCAGCAGAATTCTTTCAACACAACTAAACAACTGGACTAGTTTTTGATAGCATCTCATTTGTAAAGACAGGATTTTCTGAACCTATGCTGGTGAACGGCCATCTAGTTTTAGATAATATATTATAGTCATGGATCCGAGCTTGCAGAAAAACAACATATAATACATAAAACTAAATAATCATGAGTATTATTGTCGATCATTTAAGATGGTATGTGTAAAATACACTTTTATTTTCTACATGTAGAGGCAGATATGTGAATGGGGAATATTGTCTGCTGATATATGTTGTTCCTGATAATATCCACAACGATACAAATTATTAATTTGAATTTGTTGTACAGATCAGAAGGAGAGTCAAGCCTACATCATAGTGAAAAACCAGGTAAATAACATGCACTAAACATATACAAGCGGTGTTGTACCACACTTAGAACATAGCTGGGTGTGATTTGTCAAATTTTCAGTGAATGGGATGAACATAGAAATTATTTTAACCCGCACTGATCAGCACGGCAAAGCACGGTCAAACAGTCCCCATATAAAATGAGGAGGCATTTGTTCATTTATTAGATGGAATATAATTTATAACAATTCCTGCAGTCACCAAAGCTTCAAATCAAGTTTGAACCACCTCTACGGGGAGGATTTAAGTTTGCTTTCTCTTTGTGTCTCTGTCAAATTTCAAACTTAACTTCTAATTCAGCAATCTTTGAAAGAACGTAATCAACAAGGCTATGCGTTAACTGTGTTTTAACATACTCTCTGTGTTGCATTGCATTACATTTCCAAAAATGTTGCTAAGTTCGTTTTCTCAAACTTCCTATGTTTCTCTCTACCAGGCTTGCATAGGTCCATTTGCTCTCCCCCCCCCACCCCGGCTGCTGCGGGTTGCTTTTCCACACAGCCCTCTCATTAGCATGCTTATTTCACTGCTCCAGCACCCCCACCTCTCTCTCTCTCTCTGCCCCACCCCTCCCCGCTCTGTCTCTCTATTTAAGGCCTCGACACAGATGCGTTGTGTCTCTGTGTGGCTATGTTGTGTGTCTCTCTCTGTGTGTCTCTGTGTTGTCTCCCTCTGCTTGTGTGTCTGTCTGTGTGTCTCCGTGTCTGTGTTTTGACTCTCTCTCAAATTTAGTAATCTTTGGAAGAACGTAATCAACCAGGTAGGATGTTACTGTTGTGTTATCCGACTCTCTGTGTTGTATTGCATTGTGTTTCTAAGTTTACTATGTTTGTTTTCTACCTGATGACGATTGCTTGTGTTCCAATCGAAACGTCGTATTCTATTATTTAATTTCTTTTCTTTCTATGTGACTTCACCAAAAGAACCAAAGATTAATAATTGCTTCTCAAAAGTCTGAAACTGTCCTGGTCATGCACGTTTGGGCGCTTTAGCTTTTTCTTAACTATATAACGCTTCTTTTTTTACTGAGTACAGAAACAGTGCATAACCCCTACTAGGCAGGGGTTTGCATAGGCTCCTAAATGGCATCCTGCAAATTCGGGAGTATCTGTGCAAGGTCACTGCCACTTTATAAATATGGGCGCACATCAGTGTTGATGTCAGGAAAACAATCCTGATATAATATTGCTACAATTGCAAGTCCCTGTGGAACGTGGCCTTGTGACGTAATCGCCCCTTGAGCTTCACCCATGATGTGGATTAGGTAAGTTACATATTCATGTTATTAATGTATTTTCTTAAGTAATGTGTGCGATTTTTTATGCATTTTTGTGCGAGTGTATGAGGGTGCATTTATGTAATTGTGCAAGTGTGTTTCTTTGCATGGGGATGTCTTTATATCTCTGTATGATGGGTGACCGCGCCTTTTCTCGTGTGGCCCCTAGGCTGTGGAATTCACTTTGTTTTATTCAAATAGCACCTTAGGACGCAACTTCTCCCTTGAAACTTTCGTTGGTTTGAGCCAGCATGTGTATTTGTGTTTTGTACAGCGCCTAGTGACCTCTGGGTGAAAGGTGCAAAAGTGTAAATTATCATTGTTATACGTGTGGGTGATAGTGTGTTTGTGTGTTTGGACCCCCCTAATGGAACATCTTCGCCGGCTGGAAACATTTAGGCTAGCCTGCCTACGATCCATCCTGGGTTTAACCAGGCTGGATTGTGTGAGGAGCTCAAAAATCCTTGAAAGATCTGGGCAAGGTCCCATCGGTGAGCTCCTCCGGCAGGCAAGGCTGCGTTGGCTGGGTCATGTAGCCCGCATGCCCAGCCACCGCATGCCGAAACAGCTTTTGTTCGGCCGGATCGAGGGGGCTAAGCGGGCGTGGCACGGGCTAGAGAAGAGATGGAGTGATGTGGTACAGGAGGACGTGGAGCTGAGTGGACTTGCCGATGACTGGTACCAGCGGTGTCAAGATCGGCCTCTGTGGAGGAGGCTCGTGAAGGATGCTACTGGGCAGTTGCAGGCAGTCGCCCTCCAACAACAACGGAGGGCGGAGGAGCGACGCTCACAACAACGAGTGGAGCGCCGGGTGGCTAAAGCACAGCAGGTTGGCACAGTAAGGGGCACAGATGGTGCATCAGCCAGTTATCTCAGTCATCTTAGTCAGTCGACCCATGGCACTTGGGTCTGCCCCGTGACTTCCTGCCAGCGGGCGTTCGACACTTCACGTGGCCTCAAGGTGCACATGGCCTGGCACAAGCGTCGTGGTGACGTCACTGCCACTTAGTGGCGAATGGCGATTGTTGTGTGTTTGGGTCTATCTATTATTTTCCATGTTGGCTTTCATAGGCTTTCACAGACAGTGTGAAAAGGCAATTTCTGAATATGCTTCGTTGCTTATTCGATACAGTGCGTGTATTTGTTGGGATGAGAGTATTTTTACGTGACTGTGTGCACGCCTGATGGTGTGTCTGTGTGTGTTTGTTGTTTTGAGATCATACGAGTGTGTGGACATGAGTAATGGCGGATTTAAGGTTCCTAACACCACCGATATGATCTCAGATATTTATGCGTTTCCCTTACATATGTAGCGCCATGGATGGGCTGCACTTGCGGGCAATGACAGGCAGCCCTGAAGCAGTTGGGGGGCTGTGAGGGATTCTATGATCCCTCACAAACACTCCCAAAGGCTGGGGGGCTGGGGCTGCACTGACCTGCAACGGCAGACATGCGGACCTCAGTGGGGGACTCTGGGGTCACCCACGTCCCTCACTGAGGTCTGCACCTCGGCTGAGAAACGGATACAAGGCGAACCTCTGGAGAGGTCCAGGCCGTTTAAAAACCGAAGCAGTTGGAGACGGAAGCAGTTGGAAACCGGAGCAGTTGAAGATAACCAGTTGACGAAAGAAGACCTGCTAGAGTAGGACTCTGAACCCCTAGCTTCGCCATCCTTTTAAGGGCCGAAGCTCTGTGAGGTCAGTGTTGGACCTGTACCTTGGCTGGGTCAGGTCAGGTAGTCTCACATAGTATATTATAGCCGGAGTACCTGGAGCGTAGTCGGGTTAGGCACACTACACAGGAGGCGTATAATATACCAAGTGAAGAGATCCTCAAGATCAACTGTATGAAGAATTGATGTATAGTGGTTAGGGTACGTGTGGATAATAAAGACGTGCCCCTCCTACGAAGTTTCTCCGGAGCAACACTACACATACATCTCATCGAATCGAACGTGGGACAAATTGTCCCTACGCAATTTATAGCACTGCATAAGCTGTTCGTTACTCAGTTCCCAGTTAGTTTTAAGTTAGCTACCCGACTGCAGAACTTGACATTGGCACCGTCTTTCTAAATCTCACCAATCTGCCACTGCCCCTCTTACCGAGTGCTTGGGCCACTATGGCCTGTGAACCACAGTGCAGTTGCACCGCCTGTACACTCAATAGCTATTCCACTGCAGCGAAGCACTGACTTCGCAGTGTTTTTGTTCCCACAGATGGAGAGGAATTAACCAATGTGAGGAGCATGGTCAAGCGCTGGACGATGATTGGGTGTGTCACGCAGAAACAGATGTTGGCTGGATGTTCTATGGGAAATAACAAAAACATCACAGCGAGTGCACTCTCAGGAGTCATGTTTCACTCTGAGAACCGATTTACCAGCCATTACCAGGCACATGGTCTTGTACAGCCCTTTTGCCAACGCAACACTGGATGAGAGCCTCCACTGCCGTGCAGGTCATGGGTCTTATTTGACCATACGTCGCCAATCCAGGCATTGCGGACTGTGAAGGCAGTGAGCACACAGATGCACTATCATTGAAATACTTTACAGAGCAATGCGTTAGATGTGTATTGCATGTGAATGAGTTCTCAGCCTTATCCAGAAAGCTTACAATAACTGAATCTGTGGTCATTTTGTAGTTTGTACCACCAACTTAACGTGTTGGACATCCCAACAGAAAGCAGAGAAACAAACCTGAAGACAGGCTTCATCCTCAGTAGAACTCATGAGTACGGTTTAATCATTAAAATCTGGTGCTGCCACATATTGCCCACGATGGAGCACAGCCCCATCCAAGCTCTGTCTAGGCTTAAACCAGCTTAGCTTCTAATGTCCGACAATTGACAACTGAGGGCGCATTTTAAATGATTTGGTCATCGGCGCTTTATACCAAAAATCTGAGTTTGCTGTGCCTTTGATAATTTTTGTTTTATTGCTATTAAAAATCTTAATATGAAAGGCAATGATTCAGTTTCATTACACTCAGCCTGGCTGTTGCTGTATTTGCTATGCCAGGAGAGACGGCCATTTGAAAATATTTTAATATAATTTGTGTTGTGTACTTTTTTATTTGTAATTCAGACCTGGGCAATTTGAGCAGACGCAACCAAAGGATAGGCCTGCACATCCCACACCCTGGCGGCCCAGAGGTTGGTTCATATCAAACATATTCCTGATAGGTCCTACACTGCAGTGGTCTTAAGTGTGGTTAACTTGGAATTTACCCAATGTAGACACTGTTATGTAGCCATTTGGGACCATCCTTAGATGTATAGGAGTGATTGTGAGGTTCTGGGACACCCTAAACATGGACTTGAAGCATTTGTTGACGTTGCTGCATGATCAGGTGCTATAGCAACAGTTAGTATCGTACATAGCGATTCATCTTTTCAATGTTCTCGCCAAGGCAATCTATAAGAGTTTAAAGTTTGGCTTGGCTCTCCAACACACTGGTGTGCTGTACTAGTGACGAATTGGCCACGTTCTGTTTACGTGACAACCCTTACTAGTTGGCTGTGTTGGGTGGTCGCGGGTTTTAACGACACATTTATATATTTTCGCGATCTAACCCAAAAAACAGTGCATAACCCTTACTAGGCAGGGGTTTGCATAGGCTCCGAAATGGCATCCTGAAAATTCGGGAGTATCTGTGTAAGATCCCAGCCAATGTTTTTTTTTTAATATGGATGTGCATCAGTGTTTATGTCAGGAAATAATCCTCGTGAGAAATCGAGGACGAATTTTCCTTCGGAGGAGTGGGAGGTGGGTGGGTGTTGATTTATTTGTACTTGCGTGAGATGAGATGCCCCCGAGAAGATGACGGCACCAGAGAAAAGGGGAGGGAAGGCGGGGCGATGGGCGATGGGAATGCCCCCGGGAGAGAGGGGTGACGTCGGTAGGAGAGGCAGAGGGCTTGGGGCGCTTTCTTGGTGGGAAATGGAGGAATGAGGGACGTGGTTCTGAGTGAGAGCGCCGCAAATAAAGTAACGTTGTAGTCACCCTACCGCGGACTGGTCTGCTCTTTACAATCCTCTTATCTGTCCTGGCATGTAAAAAATCTAATGCATAATAATTCATAATAAAGGTTTTTGGGTTAGATCGCGTTATTTATAATTAAAAAAATCTAATAATTCCAAAGACAACCCACTGTCCCCACGGCCTTCTGAGAGTGTATAATAAATATATATATAAAAACACCCAGGTCTGTCATTCTGTCATTGTGTGATTAATGTGGCACGGATTGGTTGAAGTGCATCACGTGACTGTGGCGCCCCCGAACAACCTAGTGTAATGATGTATGTACAAATATATATTTTAGTTTAACACGTAGGCTTTCGCGACCAATATTCATAATAAAGGTTTTTGGATAAGATCGCGTTATTTATAAATGTGTCGTGACCCTCCACCACCCGACACGGCCAATCAGCAAAAAAGTGTCAGAGTTGACAAAAGACAATTAGTTCATTACTTTCTTAGTTTAGCTATATTTACGTAAACAGAATTGGTTATTGGGGGATGACAAACAATGCGCACCACAGTAATGATGAGGGTTGAGAAGTCGGAAATTTGTCACCACATGCTTAACCAAGGACACAATTATAGCAACAAATGTGTATGCATCATTGACATCTCTGTCCACATAGGAAGAAGAAGGTTAATGGCTTCCTGTTACAGTTAAAAATCACGTGGGCTCAGGAGAGGCGAATCCACCATTGGTAAGCCAGAGGAGGAAGGCACATTCGAGAAACTTGGAGGAAAGGGCCAGATGGGGTATAAATGATGCTTCAACCGGTTCACAGGTGAAGAAGACAAAACATCCAGGAGACAAGAGGTTGTGAGATCAAACTTCAATTTAGGGTTTGCACCAGGAGCCTCCTGTTCTGTCAGTAGACACGTCGTGTGAATGCACTCGAAGTCGGAGAGCTCAGAAAAAAAGGTGAGTGGGCTATACTGTACGTTATCCACAAGATGACTCGTTTATTTGTCTGGCTTCCTCAGGCTTCTCACTGGGTAAAACAGTGCAGTCCCACACCAAGGGCATCTGGGTCTGGCCAGTCCGTCACCCCCGTGACGAGAGGAAATGTCTGCTGCTGCTGGACACAGAGGGGCTGGGTGATGTGGAGAAGGTGAGGGCCTGTTGTGGATATACCCTGATAACAAAACATTTGGTGTTAAAAAGGATTACATATTACTTGTCTGAATAATATGTTTTTTCAAACTAATCACAATGATAATGAGGAAAATTGTAATTGATTAGTTAATACAGTGAGGGAAAAAAGTATTTGATCCCCTGCTGATTTTGTACGTTTGCCCACTGATGAAGAAATCATCAGTCTATAATTTTAATGGTAGGTTTATTTGAACAGTGAGAGACAGAATAACAACAACAAAATCCAGAAAAACGCATGTCAAAAATGTCATAAATTGATTAGCATTTTAATGAGGGAAAAAAGTATTTGACCCCTCTGCAAAACATGACTTAGTACTTGGTGGAAAAAACCCTTGTTGGCAATCACAGAGGTCAGACGTTTCTTGTAGCTGGCCAACAGGTTTGCACATATCTCAGGAGGGATTTTGTCCCACTCCTCTTCGCAGATCTTCTCCAAGTCATTAAGGTTTCGAGGCTGACGTTTGTAAACTCGAACCTTCAGCTCCCTCCACAGATTTTCTATGGGATTAAGGTCTGGAGACTGGCTAGGCCACTCCAGGTCTTTAATGTGCTTCTTCTTGAGTCACTCCTTTGTTGCCTTGGCCGTGTGTTCTGGGTCATTGTCATGCTGGAATACCCATCCACGACCCATTTTCAATGCCCTGGCTGAGAGAAGGAGGTTCTCACCCAAGATTTGACGGTACATGGCCCTGTCCATCGTCCGTTTGATGCGGTTAAGTTGTCCTGTCCCCTTAGCAGAAAAACACCCTCAAAGCATAATGTTTCCACCTCCATGTTTGACGGTGGGGATGGTGTTCTTGGGGTCATGGCAGCATTCCTCCTCCTCCAAACACGGCGAGTTGAGTTGATGCCAAAGAGCTCCATTTTGGTCTCATCTGACCACAACACTTTCACCCAGTTGTCCTCTGAATCATTGAGATGTTCATTGGCAAACTTCAGACGGGCATGTATATGTGCTTTCTTGAGCAGGGGGACCTTGCGGGCGCTGCAGAATTTTAGTCCTTCACGATGTAGTGTGTTACCAATTGTTTTATTGGTGACTATGGTCCCAGCTGCCTTGAGATCATTGACAATATCTTCCCGTGTAGTTCTGGGCTGATTCCTCATCGTTCTCATGATCACTGCAACTCCACGAGGTGAGATCTTGCATGGAGCCCCAGGCCGAGGGAGATTGTCAGTTATTTTATGTTTCTTCCATTTGCGAATAATCGCACTAACTGTTGTCACCTTCTCACCAAGCTGCTTGGCAATGGTCTTGTAGCCCATTGCAGCCTTGTGTAGGTCTACAATCTTGTCCCTGACATCCTTGGAGAGCTCTTTGGTCTTGGCCATGGTGGAGAGTTTGGAATCTGATTGATTGATTGCTTCTGTGGACAGGTGTCTTTTATAGAGGTAACAAGCTGAGATTAGGAGCACTCCCTCTAAGAGTGTGCTCCTAATCTCAGCTCGTTACCTGTATAAAATACACCTGTGAGCCAGAAATCTTTCTCATTGAGAGGGGGTCAAATACTTATTTCCCTCATGAAAATGCAAAGCAATTTATAACATTTTTGACATGCGTTTTTCTGGATTTTGTTGTTGTTATTCTGTCTCACTGTTCAAATAAACCTACCATTAAACATATAGACTGATCATTTAGTTGTCAGTTGGAAAACGTACGAAGTCAGCAGGGGATCAAATACTTTTTTCCCTCATTGTGGGTGTATGAGTGTAGAAGTGTGTGGCATTGTCTGTGAGGCATGCTGATACAGTTGTGGAGAAGGTACATGTTTTTCTGTGTCTGGCAGCTGACTGTAGAAAACTCAGTCGCAGTGGAGAAACCAGTTTCAGAACCTGGTGGTATGAGCCCCTTGAAGGGTAGGCTATGTACGGTCTTTTTCTTTCATATGCATTAATAGCAGCAGTTAAAGATGTGTAGTGGCGTAACTCGCGCAGGGTTTGCAAACAACGGTTGCATTATGTGCGGGGTTGCAGACAGTGAGGTCAGCTAAGGATAACCAGGTGCAGGCGGGTGGCCTGGGTGACAGCAGACAGAGAGATGCCAGCAATTAGGGAAAGAGGCAGTGATTGCCTGGCTGCAAATGCTTACGCAGAGAAAGCGCCACGGAGGCGAGAGATAGTGGCGATAAGGGGGAGAACACATGCGTGAGGCGTGGAGAGGATGCCGGCTTAATGAGGGCCATCTGGGGACACTTAATGAGGGGGATAAAAAGGAACGTGATAGGCAGAAGAGTTGAGTTGGTTGGAGTGAAGACAAGAGTGAATTCAAGAGAAGTCCGGGACCCCGCTCTCCACACCTCGTCCTCTCCAGCGGTGTTGGCTGATCCCCTGCTGGAGGCAAGGGCGAGGTTGGAGGAGTGAGGGTAGACAGGCTGGCAGTAGAGAGGCTAGCAGAATCCTAAGTTTGAGTGTGATATGGCTAGCGGTAGGGAAGCTAGCAGAGTGTATGGTAATAGGCTAGCAGTGGAGAAGCTAGCAGAGTGTATAGTAATTGGCTAGCAGTGGAGAAGCTAACAAAGTGTACGCGGGGAAGCTACCAGAGTGTGTAGTGATGGGCTAGCAGCGGAGAGGCTAGAGAGTGAGAGAGAGAGAGAGCAGGCTAGCGGAGCGAGCGGTGCGAGCGGGGTGTAGCAGACGAGCAGTGACAGCGGAAGAGTCACGTGGTGTTGAACGCGAGGAGCTCTTGTTGAATAAAGTGACACAGGAGAAAAGGAAGAAGTTGTCCTTGTGAAATAACACCACCAGGGGCCGTCCATAATTGACGTCACGCACCTGGGGGGGTGTCAGACATTTGTGACGATGTGTGACAAGGGAGGGGGGGTGTTTGAGAAATGTGATGTCACATCAAAAAGCGCAACATTAAATAAATATATAATTGTTTTAACAACACTAATTTTATAACAACACTCCTACAACATCAGAGTGCAGCGCCACATTAAATACGCACTACAATCACAATAGATTAAAGCGATTTGAAGCATGGACTCATCCATCTGAACAACTGCCAAATCGCTGACTGTGGTGCTAACATTAAGAAAAAAACGCCACTTTTTTCAAATTTTCTTGCTGTGGTTTTCACACCTGATGATGATTGGCTTGTGTTGCAGTCGAAATATCGTGATAATTTTATTGTTTTATATTTTTATTATTTTATTGTCTCCCTTCTACGTGACTTTACCAAAAGAACCAAGAATATGATTTGAAGCATGTTTTATTTTCAAAATTGAAATATGAATTTGGGGGGGGGGGGGCAGAGCTTTGTGACGTCATATTTGAGGGGGGGTCTGACTTTTTGTGAATTCGTGTGAAGAGAGGGGGGGGGTTAAAAATCGTCCAAAATCGTGTGACATCATTTACGGACGGCCCCGTACAGATGCAATATAAAATTTGTTATCCACTCAAATTGTCTGTTCAGAAGGAGAGAGGATCTCGTCCATTCCTCCTTTAAAGGAATGAAGAGAGCAGGTGTTTACAATGTGGTCGATGATTGAGGATTCATGGCTGTATCAGCAGGCCGCTGAATCTTTCATTGGCCAGTTGTGCAGCAAGGAGAGAATTTACCGATGCTGAAAATGTCAGCAAACTCCATTTATAGTTAAATAAATTTGCTCCGCTGGGCTGTGGAGAAGTCCGCAGCCTCCGAGCAGAGGGAGTCTACCCAGCGGACATCTGAACCTGAACGCAGCATTGGACGTGACTCCGCCCCAACGCTACCTTCCACACAATCGCCCCGAAGCATGGGCGATGCATGGGCAAGCACTGTGCCTTGCGGAATGATGGACGTCTGAAACCCAGCATTCAGGACCTGAATGAACGGGTCCCTGTCAGCTACACCAGGGTCTGTGCCCCTACTAGATTCATCTCCCGCACAGCTATATTGGAGGGACCCAGGATGATGCCTGCCGCTGTTGCCGCCGAGTCAAGCGGCTTACGTAAGCGCAGGGGAACGAGCATTTGCACGCCCGGGGGAATTCGAACTGTTTGGGCCGCAACCACTTGTTCCGTGGCATTCACCATCCACACGCGGGTCGGGGAAGGCAGGAATGCCAACCGACGGCCGGAGGGCAACTCGATACAACCCTGATCTATTAAAATTTGTACCGGCATTTTTCCAAAAAATCAGTCCCAAGCAAGCATGGGACAGCGAAGGATGACAAAACTAGAATCGGCCCAGACAATTTGACATCGCCAATACAAATTTGAGCAGTAATTTGGTCGATGATCCCTAATGAACCCCCGTTGGCAGCAAAGCATGGCACTTCGACAGGGCACCAGGAATGGCACTTATCCGGCAAGATGTTATAAATGAGCTCAGAATTAATGGTCGCCAACGCCCCCGTGTCGACGCGCATACGAAAATCGACCCCCTCAATGGAGCCCACGACAACCGATAAAACCGTGGTCGTGGCAACCACCCTATGGGCCAACTCCAACCAGTGACCCGGTCGGAGTGACCAGTCAACCCGAACAGTCTGCACTCCCCTGTACCGATGCACGACGAGACCATAACCCGGCGAAATGAGATGCGTGAAGGGGAACTAGTGGCTGGGTGTGTGCGGTGTCGCAACTCATCTCGCGTTGCCATGGAGAGGAGGATGGTTGGGCGGATGACGGCCTGGGCCCGGAGAAGCGTCGTTGAGGCACCCGGCAACCCGACGCAACGTGGCCTTGCAGGCCACAGTTGAAGCAGGAGATGAGGCCCCGCTCTGGTCGCGGCAATGTCCTCTCATGCTGGCGAGCACCATCCCGATGCGGCCGGTCGTCCCTTTTCCATCTCCTGTCCGGGGTCGATGCAAAGGCCTGGGCAGGAACTGGCTCCTGCGGTGAGCTGCACGCCTTCTCGGGCAGAGCGCATGCCGCCAACGCCATCTCCCGCTGAGCATTCAAACACGTGAGCTTGAATGTTCTGCGCCACTTGCAGGCAGCACAAGTTGGTGTCGTCGATGGCGTGAACGA